AGAAAATCATGATTTGTTTGGTTGTAACAAATTGGACCAACTACATAGTTGAGAGAGCTATTAGAAAAGCTTTGAGGCACAAAATACCCTACTGAGGTCACAAATGGAGCTGACTAAATAAGTAAAATATTTTTTGAGGAAACTTAGGACTTTTCTACATTTTTTTAAAAATGCACTGTTATAACTATGTCAGTTTAAGTAGTGCTGATGTGGTAGCCGTGACAGTACAGGAAAGATGAGAGAAGCAAGGATTTTTGTGGGTGATATCTTTATGGGACCAGCTGCTTGGTTAGGATAGATTTAGACAGGCAGTGCATTCTTCTTAAAGGTCTAGAGAAAAGCAGGCACAGCTAAATCACCCTGCAAACTGTTTTATTCTTCCACCGTACTGTCTTTTCTCTCAGGTCTAAAGATAAATGCATTGTATACAAAAGCTTGTCCAAGTCTATCTTCACCATGCTGCTGGTCCAATAAAGATATCACCCACAGAAATCCTTGCCTCTCTCCTATGTCAATTTAAGAATTTTAAGTATTGAATATGTTCATTTAGAAAATTGAAGGAATCAGTACTTAGAAGAAAAGGGAATAATAAGAAGAGAACAAAGTCAGGTTATGGGTAGGATTCTGTTGCCCTTTGTGCACCTAAATGGCAGTTTTCCTGCTGGATAAATGGATCTTTTGGAACTTACATGAATTCACAATTCTATTACTTTCTATTACATGGGTAATCTGGATGCATACGTGCATGTATATATACTGACAATACTTAGTAGGCTAAGCACTAGCTGGGCAGCTGGGTAGGTACATTAGCACACCCAGTGATGAGTGTAAGTCACAGAATTGTAGTCTGAAAATATCCCATGATAGTAGGTGTTAGAGAGGAGGAAGAGAATGATGATGACAATTTTCCTATGTTCGGCTCCAGTACCTGAATGGTTAGGGTGCTTGAATTCAGAGGGGTTTTGAACCAGTATATCCCATTCCTGAGCAAGTGCCCTAATCACTCAACTACTAAGGCTACCACATGGAAGGTTCCTCCTCTGCCTGTTTTTGTCCAAGGCTTGCACGCATATATGTATTTATATAACTGCATACCTGCCCAGCTAGCATATAGCCAACCATGCATGCTCAGGATATGAACAAATACTTGTGCCTAAGCTGTGCAGGTAATATAATCACAAATGATAAATAAGTGCCAAAAATACCACTTAGGCAGCTAGGTAAGTGCACAAAGGGTAATAGAATTTTGTACTGTATGTCTGCTTTTCCATATAAATCTACAGTCTAGTTCCTTCTCCTAATTGTAACCCCTAAGTACTGTCTTCTATTTGCACATATACCAGGCAGAAAATCTTGTCATATTTTGATCTTAATTTCCCTGTGGGGTACAACTGTATAGCTCTTAAAGAGAAGTGAAGTTCACTCTCCCCTTTTTTATATCACCAGTTTTACTATTTCACTATTTTATTTTACCTCAGTGAAGTTCCATTCAAAAACCTCATGTAAAATATACCTGCTATATTCTGCTGCCCCAAATGAGCATACATATTAATTACTGGTGGAAGGATTCAGAAACACAAGACATTTTCCTAAGCATAAGCTAACAGAAAACATTGGCTTCTGAGAAACTAAACAGAGACAGAATAAATAATTTAAAGGCAAGACATTGTCTACAACCTTCTGGAAGGTTTCAAAGAAAAGGTAATTACTTCTATAGCTAGGTATGAAATCACTTGTATAGAAGTGACTAAGTTAATGTGTGTATTAAGGGTTAGATCTACAAAGAAACATAGGAGTTGCAATTACTGATATGACCTTTTACAAAAAAAAAACCCTCAAATTTCTTTTGTCCAGAGATGTTCTTCAGTCAGATTTTCCAGTAGAGTGAATTATTACATAAAACTATTAAGGGAAGTACTGCTTCTCAATGAAAGCAATGACTGCTGTTTTGTACAGAGCTTCTTCCTTTTGCTGTTCTGAGAAACCAAAGACTCTTCAAGAAACTTAGGTGAAGAATACCCAGACTAACTATTACAGTTTGGTTTAAGCAGTTCTGAATATACCGAAGCAAAGCTTTTGATGCCTATGGAACTTCACTGGTGAAAATATAGCCATTTGAGAAGTTAAGAAGGGGCAGGGGTGGATCTAGAGAGGGTATAATGGTATGGTTATGCACTCCCTTTCTGCCCATGCAGCAGAAGCAGCAGAAGTTTCAAAGAAGGTAAGAATTACCCACTCTGTGCTCAGAGGCATATATACCCCTTCCCCTCCCATCCTCTGCCTTCCCATGCCCCCCTCTATCACCTACCAATGCTGTCCCTAGAGCAAGGGGAGCACCAGAGCCACTCCTTCTGGGAAGTGTCAGGGCTGGGCTCAGCCCAGGATGTTGGCACTGGATTTATGACCCAGACACTTTGTTCCGGATGGACCCAAACCCTCAGACTGACCACGACCTTTCCATTCGATAATAGGTGAATTTTGTTGATACACAATGGTAGCAGATAAGAATAATGCAAACTATTCTATAACTATGAGTCCCAGGGTTCACAGAGTCAAGGTATATCTGGCAAGTACGTGAGCTTCACTCTGAGATTCTCTCTTGAATGTCAGATGTCAGCAACCTGGAGGCTGGAGGCTGAGGCCTACCTCCTCCCTCCTTCAGTGGGGTGGGTGAGACAGACTAGTGGTATGCCCTCTGTCCTTAGTGGCCTTCTTGGGAACCCTTTGCTGCTCTGAAATCCCTCCTTTTGTATCATTTTCCCTCTGTGATGACTCTTTGTCTCTGGGCATCACTGATTGGTCTTCCTGTGGTTGTCAAACTGTCCAACTTCTGTCCTCTCAGCATATTTATTTGTTTCACAAACCCATCACATGCATTCATCCAAACTTGGTTCTTTCCGGTTTCTCCTAATTTGGTCTATCTACAAAAACAGGAAAACTTAAGGGCCCTGCAGTTGGGCACTGTGATCTGGCCAACATGGCATAGCCCCTTATCTCTGTTATGGAACAGTGTGGTACATGTCTTCAATTTCCCATTCTGTGTCTGCTTGTTGCTTGCCTGTGTCGGACACAGTGGGCCTTGAAGGAGACTTTGCCACAAACAGGCTTTTAGAAATCAATTAACCCTTGCCATTACCCTGGACCATTGTTCTAATGCAATACCTACTTTACCTGCAAACCAATTCCCAAAAAGCAAACCTCTAAATACCATTTTCTAGCCAACACAGGACAGCAGCAGCAAGTGAGCATATTCCCCATCATTATATCTGGTCCCAGGCTGATGGGGAACACCCAGGGGGAGCAGGCACAGTGAAGGGGAATCCACCTGTCACTTCCATCACCACTACCATGGTCCCAGGCTGAGCCTGACCCTTGCACATCTTGGCTGGAGTGGCTCCCCACACCCCCAGGACAGCAGAGACACCAGCAGCTGCAGGCAGGGGAGGGAGAATGAGATGGGAGGGAAGGGGATGTGCCTCTAAACAGGGAGGGAAAAGGAGCAGAGAGAATTCTTATCTTCTTCAGAACTTAGAAAGGTCCAAGCTGCTACTCCTGTGGTACAGTCTGCCCACCCGAGTGGGGGTTAGTTGTGGGGGAGAGAAAGCTGGAAACAGGGTTGCAGCCACCTCAGCAACATCATTTGCTGCTTCTGCACCACGTTTGTAAAATTCTGGATCTTTGCCCCTAGAAAGGGGTATTGAGGAGTTTTTGCCCTGTTGGACTTTGATGTCTACATTCACCTAAGTCCCACTTGGGAACTTAAATCTTTCTGTGTATCTTGGCCTAATCCTATGAACTTGCCCATTGTGAACTGTTCCACTGTTCTAAAAGCCTGAAAAGGCTAAGACTGAGATGAATGTTTGTGTAGTTAAACAATGCTGTCCTTTCTCTCATGACAAGCTTGATTTTGGGTGCTGTTTAAATGTTGTGTTTCCTCATGAAGATTCACTTGCATTTAGGGAAAATAAGTCTCCCATCTGTAGATCTATATCTGCTACATTCTTTCTCAGTCAGTGATCATTTAGGGAAAAAATAGCTCTACCAGTCTGCACATAAGTGGTTATGTATGCATTGGGACTTCTGTTTTCTTTACAAACTGTTTTTAAATTGAGACACTGGACATATAAGTAATCTGATGTATAACAGCCTTCCATAAAATAATTAAGTATCAACAAGTAGGTTTTCCTAGTTTCTGTGAATTCTACAATATTAATGTGCAAATCATTTTTTCTGAAAATATATTTTCTGTCGCTGACTATGTTTTGATTAGCCCCAGCACATGCATTTTAAAATAAAATTACAAAAAAAGGAAAGGAGAAAGGACAGGACTACAGTTAATAAGAAGATGCTAATTAGTAAGATTAGCTTTATGGGCTAATTAATGTCACTAATTGGCATTGCTGTCACCAATTAAAGATATCTGTTTATATTTTAAGCATCAGACTCAAATGAAAAATATTTAAAGTGTTCTGTCCCAGGGGATGATATTTTCATAAAATGTGAATTGCCATCTCCAAACATGTCTAACTTATTTCATATGATGGTAATTTGAAAACAGGAGATAGATCTTCATCCTTATTTTATGTCAGAAGTTGTTTTCCTTATTAGGTTAGAGAACTTGGGGAAAAGCATCACTAGAATTGCTTCTTACTTTATTTGTGTTAGGATCTTCTTTCTTCCTTTAAAGTTTCAATATACTTGCATAATGTTTATCTGATCTCTTGCTTAACTTGTCCGCTAGTTCCCTTGGCTCAAGCATAATGAGAAAAAAGAATCCCTAATAAACCTCATTATGTAAAAATTCTTGTGAGTTTTAGTTCCCTGAACATCTGCAGTCCAACTATAGCACTGATATATGTGTAAATTATAATGCACAATCTGTGACAGTTCAATATCATATACATTTTAATGGTAGCTCATGTCCATTTTCAAAACACTGAAATGTGTGTGTCAGATGCTTTAGTGGATGATTTGCCACTCATGTTTGCTTTGTCTTTTAGCTCCAGACCAGTTTGACTGAACCAATGACATTATCCAAGTCAATTTCACTTCCTCGTAGTGCATACTGGCATCATATTACCAGGCAGAACAGCGTTGGAGAAATCTACAGTTTACAAGGCAAGTAACTTTAAAAATAAATTGGCATGTCGATTAGCTTCCTTCACATTGACCAGAATTCATGAAAATTGCTTTCCATTTGCATTGGTTGTTTTTTTTCCATTTCAGTTTATCAGTTGTCAGGAACCCCAGTGGGACTCCTAAGATTTACAGTGGACATTTTTATCATTTTGTAAAACTAATGGTGAAAATTACTTCTAGAATTGCCATGTAGATGAGCAGCCACTTTGCCATAGGGACTTGAATAAAACACTGTAGTATGTGTCTTATCAGTATGCAAGGAATAGCAGATGTCAGGGAGCCCTTCATAGTATGTTCTACTTAGAGTTTCTGTCTTTCACCTTCTTTTCTTGAGCAGATGGTACATGTGTTATAGAGGCTAACTTCTGGGTGTCCAGTTAAATCTATGTAAAACTGTCGTATTAGTTTCAAAGCTAAAATAACAGCAGCTAGAATAACTGTGATTTTTGGTAATGTGCTTACATTTTTAGGTGAATAATTTACCCTGTGTTAGCTAACCAGGGGACTGATTTTGAGAGGTGATGAGATAGACGGGCAGTGCATTCTAGCATATAGGATACTGTACCATGGCTCAGGTGAACTAAACTTATTCTCAGGTCTAATGAGCTGCTGTGTGTGACACTTGAAAAATATATCCATTTTCTTATGTCTCTGATTCTCCTTCCATTTTTAGTTAGTGAGCTCTCTGATCAAGTTTTTATTTTATTATGTGTTTGTATAATATCTAGCACAACGAGGCCTTTATTTTGGTAGAGGTTTCCAGGTGTTCCAATTAACACAAATTATTAATACAAGTGATGATGATGAGTAATGGCAGATGCTAGTGATTTGCATGTCATGATACAAAATTTTATGCACTTAAAAATATAACCTCTGACTAACAATTATAATGTTTTCATGAAAATTAGAAAAAAGAAAAACAAAATTTTCAGGTGATCTGTCCCTTTGCATAATTTAACCAGGTTGTCAGGCTTACCTATTCATAAAAAGTTTGAAAAAAATCAATTTATCGCCATAACCAGGCATTACAAAGTACCAGGTAGTATTCTTGTCAGATAGCAAAAGTACTTTCCACAAGAAAATATTTTACATATTTTTATTTTAAAAGAATTACCATATTTACTCAAATAGAAGACAATGCAGATTATAAGGTGACCCCCCCCCCAATAATTAGCTTCTATATATGGAAAATTTATAAATTTGTTATAATTTTCCAGGTATAGAATCTAATTATTAGAGGCTTACCTTGAATTTGTCCCCTTCCTACAGTTAGAACATTATAAACTAGGGTCTAATAAATTCCAAATTCACTTGAGCAAAGCCCAAGAGTAAAATTCCAAAATTTTACTGAGCCAAACTCAGTCATTAAATCTGTTTGGCTGTACCATCTGACAAGTATTTTCCCTCCCAGGCCCATCAATGTAAGATTTCAGATACTCCCCAAATCCATGGCAGGCATCCTACGTGCAAGCAGCAGGTCTGGGAGCCTTGGAGTTCAGAGGCCCCCTAGTTTTGCTTGCTCCTAGTCAAAAGACCAAGGAGCAAGCTAGGTAGAAAACAAAAGCAATACCTCATTGTCACAAAATGCCTGGAATGCAAGGGCCACGTCTCACCCTATAACTTTAACTTTATTAGTGAATGTTAAAAAGGGTAGTTACAGAGTTGAAGGGGTCGGAGAAAATACAAATATCTGGACAAGGGTGGCTACGTAGTACAGGGTTGGGGGAAGGGAACGACTAAGTTATATAGTAAGGATGTCGTCTACTTAGCCTGGGGGTGGGTTTGGGCAGAGGATGAGGAGCTAAAAGGCAGAACATGTACAGAGAAGAGAAAATACAAAGTGCCTTGTGCAAGGAAGCCACATTGTTAGAGTGGTGGGTTTTAAGAAACATGCACAAGTACATGTACTAGTATGTGGGGTACAATTGCAGGGGTGTGGGAGAGTCCAAATATAAGTGTCCTAGGTTATGATCCCTTGGTGGGGGAAGGATTGGGGGACAGTGACAGCAATCAGGTCATCTCTTCTGGGTCACTTCCAGCTGATGGTCTATTAGAGTCCATATGCTGGCACTCACCCATGAGTGTATAAATTGAGTCCAACAGATGGACAACTATTGCAAAGGTTTCAAACAAGAGCAAACATCCATATATTGAAGGATGTAAGTCTTGAATTCAGATACTGATGGGAATTTCTTTAACAGAATACAGCATTTCTCTCTTCTGGTACCTCATCCAAAAAGGTTAACTAAGTCAGAAAGACATAGTCAGTCAGAAATCAAACACTTCCAATGTTTTATATTAGAAACTTAGTCCTGAATTTTAAAATATTACAAGACTTCCTAGCTAAAACATTATAGGTAAAAGTTAATATAGGTGCACTATACCTAAATTATATATAAGGGTTCCCACACACACAACTAGCAAGGTCAAGTATTTTATATTCAAAGCATTCTTCACATTCAGGGAAATAAAAATCATTTCATTGTGACAGACAACAGAAGGGAGTTTACTTGCCTGGCTCTTTTGTTTTTCTGTCTGTTTACTTGACTGTCTTGAAAATCAAGTCATTTAATCAAAAGACATTCTGAAATTAATGGTGAAAAACATTTTAATAATGGATCAGTTTGGATTACTTTACTCCTATCTTCAATATTTACATTTTTTAGTGTAGTGATACCTATAAATGGAATGTAGCTGTGCTCAGATGTTCCAATTTTTGTTATGTTCCTTTTGTATTATATATATTTTTTAAGTTCTTTGACATATTACCATTTTTGGCAGTATGCCGATATGATGTATGCCTTGCATTCATGATAATGATACAGCTGTTTGGAACACAGTTCATTCCCTGTCATATCTTGTTTCTCAAATAGCTGATCTATGTAATACAGTACAAGTATAACCAAGATGTAGAAAATATGGATAGACATGCATAAATGCATTATATATGCAATGGCATATATAATATTTATAACAATTAGGTTCCTAGGAGATGGTATGTTAAATGCATTTTTAAACAATGAGAAATTCTGCATTATGGACAATTGTAGGTTTACTTATTCTTATTGAGCATCAAATGAATACTTTAGTATTTAGAATAAGTGTTCACTTGACTTACATATAGTATAATGAGTGCAACTGAAGAAAGAAGGTGAAATTTGTTGTTAGGGGATCAGCAGTACATGCAGAGGCCAAGATATCTGAAACCTGAGTGTTCTGTACTTCCTATGTACCTTGATCCTTTTCCTCTATATCTTCCTTGTATTCATTCCTCATACTGCATAACACTTCATGTAACACTGACCTTGCGGAGTCGGTAAAGATGTCTTTCCTACAACACTATCAGGCTGCTGCTTTCTGATAATTAAACACTGTACATCCATGAAGAGGCAAGTATGAGCATAAGGCACACTCTTTCTGTGTCTTCCTAGACTCCTCATATTGCTTATTCAAGCTCAGCAGAGACATTGCACTCCATGGGGATAGTGCCCATTCCATCACAGATGTGGGTGGAAATTTGTATAGCAGAGGGAGTGTGTGAGCATAACCACTAACCACTAATTGTTAACATACCAGCCAGCAGAGCTGAGCAGCTGCAGAGAGAGAATTTGCTAGTGGTATGATCAAGTAATAGATTACTACATTTTTTAGAAAATGGGTGAAAGGGAAGGAAATTTGACTCTAGGATCACAGTTCCTACTCTAGACTATTTCCTGGACAGTGCTGTTAGGTATTGTCAGTACTTTCAGCTAAGAGCAGTATCTCAGCCTAATTTAAATGATCCTCACTGTGTGTGAGAAACATGTGAAAGAAAAACTGTCTGCTTCTAGATACTATCATTCCTCGCCTCTTAAGGGTAAAATTACACATTACACTTACTAAGGGCACATAAAACATGAATATCTATACAGTGTCTTAAAGGTCTTTGACTCATGCTAAGTACCCTCAGAAGGTCTCAAAGTTATGCCACCTCAGGAAAGGCTTAACTCTGGGCTGTGCTATCTAACTCATTTTTGGGTAACTTCAGTCAGCTCCATGGAAATAAAATGAGCAATTTGCAGTCCTCCATAATCCCAGGATGCACTGCTCCAAGCCCCTTCCATCAAGACCAGGGTTAGTGTCCAGCCTGATTCAGTGCTGAATCTCCAAATTGAATCAGGAGACCCTTTAATCTCTCCAGATCAAATCAGAACCCTCCAAATTGATTTTTAGTGATTCAGAAAGATTTGACAATTCAGACATAGGCACAGCTTTAAATGTTTTTTCTACGTACCTTAAGGTACCAAGTGGCTCATGAATGCTGTGATTGTGGGGGAGATGGAGCATCCCACAGGAGTATCTGGGGGGGGTCGCCAGCACACTCGGCAGCAGACTTGGAAGTGGACAAGAAGCACTTCCAGTCAACTTCTGGGTCTGCTGGGGAGCGCGCTGGGGGGGCCCCCCAG